TCAACACCCAAAGGTCCGAAGGCTTACCTCAATGAGCTTCAAAGCTTAACCTTTGTTGACCACCAATGAGCAATCAACCAAGCTGTACAACAATATCAACAATCAATACCTACATCAAGGTACTAGACAATCTATCAAGGCAATCCAATGAATACCAATATTGTCATCAACCAAACAAACCTATTCACACCACAATGGCATGAACTTACCAATTCAAAGCTAATCAAGCTCCATGGCTTCCTCCAATGGTTGGTCCTTCAATGTTGGTCCACAAGGTTTGATCCTATCACCACAATGGACATAATCAACCATCCAACCAAACCATAGCTCAACAATGCAAGCAACTCACATGTCTAAGCATGAATTTTTCCAATATATTACACAACAACCAAATGACAATCTAAGTCCATTTCTACTGTTTATTTATCATTCCTAACAAATTTTACAAAGGAATTTAACTTCAATCTCTCTCTAACATACCCCACCATTCATGCATTTTCTTAAAACAAAACCCTAACATACCCAACATCATAAAATGCAAGGAAAAAGGGATTTCTAAACACCAACTCACATAGAATCACACAAGGAAGAGATTGCAAGCCTCACTTCAAGAAATGAGTCACTCCAAGGTCCTCCAAGCCAAGTGGGTCGCCACTTTCAAGGTGGAGTTCCTCCCTCCACAATGGTGGATTTCGAAGAGGATGGAATTTGACACAAGTTTGCCTTTGGAATGAATTGATTTGGTTGAGAGATGAGAAAGTTAGGTTTTCTTGGTTTTCTATCAATGACTTCACTCACTCCCTCCCTCTCTTTGCTAATCACGATTGAGAAGAAGAAAATGAAGTTGGGATTTTATGTTTTGACACTTAACATTTGTTAAGTTATCTCAACCGTGTATGAGCTCATCTATCTATTCAACTCCATTCTCTTTCAAACTTTACCTGAAGGTCTATAATATTTTCTAGGAATATTTTTACTTTTACTTTTATATTCTGGATGATTTTGCCTACACTCATTTTTACCCCATAATTTTTACTTACTGTACTTTTTATCTCAAAAGTGATCCCTAATTTATTTAATTAGATATTTTACCTAATTCAACCCACTATTACAAGATTAATTTCCTAATTACATGCAATTGATCAAATCTCATGGTGAGGGATATTATAGCAAAACTTTCCCACCAAGTTGGAGCAAATATGTCTATCAGATTCAATTTGGTGACTATATTTTGAAATGTGTGTTTTGATATAACTTTGGTGAATATGTCAGTAAACTGATAATTGTTGCGAGTATGGAGTTCTTGAACCTTTTTGCTACAAATTAACAATCCACTTCTACATGCTTGGTTCTTTCGTTGAAGATGGGATTTAAAGCAATGTGTGTTGCTACATGGTTATCACAGTGTAGAGTTGTGGGAGTTCTAGTCATCTATTCAAATTAATATGATTGGCTTCAAACATGCATATTCAACTATATCATGGCTTAAAAAAAACATTCAATCAACCATTTAGTGGAAAATATGACTAAGTTAGTAAACTAGTCAACTTTGACTACATACTTTAATTTCCATGTAAACTTCCATACCTTTGACTTTTGTTTAATTGAACTTTAACCTAATTTTGTAAATTAATCTAAACATAATTATATCAATTTAAGACCACTTCTAGTCATCAAAATTCTATAAAGAATTTAACTGCACAATCAAAATTAAGCTTAGGTCATTATTTTGCCTTTTTGTAATTTAGTCTGTATACTTTCACATAATTATATTTTGACCCCTAGACTTCAACAATATCCTCATTTGGGTCTAATTTACCTTACTTGACATGAATTGTATCATCAAAAATTTTAGCATATCAATTCATTCATTTACTCAACAAAATTCACATCAAAGGCTTACTTATTTCAAAACTAGTATAAACTAGTAATCACATTTGTAATTCTTTTATAATTTCAAGATTTGTTAATCAGGGTTGTTATTGTTGCGACTCGGCAAGTGCACCGGTCGTAAAGTAATAAAGTGTACCGGAGTACAAGATCGTTCCCACGAGGATCAGAATCTTCAAGCACTAGTTCGCTAATTGTGTTTTAGTTGGACAATCAAGAATTTAGATGAAGAGAGTTGTGATTTGAAGAACTTGAAAATTAAAGAAAAGTAATAGCATTCAATCAAAGAAAATTCAGAATTAAAAAGAATGAATGAAAAGATAATGATTGATTAAAGAATTTAAAAACAAGCGTAGTTAAGGTTTCGACTTACCCCAATATCCTCAATATGTTATGAATTAAACAGTCAAGAACCCGTTTCTTAATATATTACCAATCAATTCTATCTAAGTTATTACAGCTCAATTCCTTGTTACCATAAATCTATGTAATCTTGAAAGAACTCTAGTTCCCCGATTATTCCCCAAGAAAACATGCATTAAGATCAAGAATTTCAAGATTGCATAATTACCCTATGTCTATTCCTAGATCACAATGATTATAATAAATTATCAAATCAGGGTTCATGCACCAACATCTCTATTGTCATACAATTCCCCAAAATCATTCTATAAGGAGCAAACTCATAGAAAGCAATAAAAATAGATAATTTATTCAATTATAAAAAGAACAGGATTCGAAGACAATTTAATTCATAAACATAAAGATTCAATTGGGTTCCATCTACCCTTAACTACATAAAAGACTAGCCTAGCATACTTAATTGAAAAACAATAATAAAGAAAAGAGAACCCCAAGCCTCCATTTGTGTGATGTTAACTTGGTTCCTCAGTGTTCCAGCGCTCCGCAACAGGATTCCTCCTTCTGTCTTGGTGTAATGCTCTGGACTTGTGTATTGGTCTTGACCCCAAGCTCCTTATTTATAGCTTTTTGGAGTTGTATTCGTCATTAAATCTCCAATGAATCCATATCAGATTAATGGTTGATTTCATCTTTGTTTCCTTTTTGCATTTGATATCTTGGAGATTGGTTGACGATTTTGAGCTTTAAATCTTGTTGTGATCTTCCATGACATCTTCTTATTGGAGTTATATCTTATCTCAATCAAGGTTGTTGTGTTTCCTCTTTGTATCTTATAGAATTCGCTGCATATCTTGATCAAATCTTTCCTGGAGTTTAGCTTGGTCGTGCATAGACGTTTTAGCGTGATGTTTGTGCGTTAAAACGTGCTTACAGTGCATTCTTGTCTGCTTCCAAGCGTTTTGGCGTCCAGTAGCACGCCGAAACGTGCTCTTCGAAGTGTTTTGGTTACTTCAGGAGCATTTTGGCGTGCTGTTTGACCGCCAAAACGCTCTCCTCCAGGGAGTAATGGTTGTTTTCTTCCTTTTGTGCATTTAAACATGATTCATGGATGCCAAAACGTCCTCCTTTAGCTAGTACACACTTGAAATCTTGCTTTCTTGTGACTTCAACTCAACTTGATGTCTTCTTTTGATTCCAAAATGCCATAATAGGTATCAAAAAACCCTTGAATTCAGAATTATGACAACATGTTAGCAAAATATTCAATTACTGTAACTTTACACTATAAAACCCTAATTTCCATGCAATTCATGATATATATCAAACATAATTAAGTCTAAAAACATGGTAAACTAAGGGTTTATCAACCATTCCCATATTTGAACATTTCTGTCCTCCGCAATGCACTAGAATAAACTTAATAGAATCAATCAATATTTTCAATTGCATGGAGTTCACAGGCAGGATTTAATTAGAGACATGACCATAGAGCATTCAGACTTAAAAGTAATGATACATCAAAACAACAAGATCAATGATTCATCAGTTAAACTTTCAATGAAATTATTTAAGATCAAGAAAAGGGAAAACTTCCTGCAACACTTCCTCACTAGGATTTTAATTCACTCGCACTCAACTGTTTAGAGGTTTGGTGTTTCTCTCTTATTCCACTGAATTAACACTACCATAGGCTTGCTTATATTCTCACTCTTCACAGTTCTTATGATAAATCAAGCAGATCAAGAGGTCTTTAGCATGGTTGTAACGTGGCCTGGTGAAAGGGAGGAAAAGATTTTTGGAACAAAAGCTTAAGATCAAATTCAGATTAAGGAAAGGAATAAGTGTTGTTCGTTTCTTCCGGCTGTAAAGCTTTTCTTCTTCTTTTTGGTTCTTCATTTGAACCTTTTTCTTTTGTCGTTTTCTTTCTAAGAATATTTTCTTGCTTTTCACTTCTTTTCCTTTCTTTTCTTTGAGCAATTTGCTTGCTCTTCTTGTTCTAACCAATTTTTATTTCTTGGCCTTTGCCCTTTTGCTTGTACTTCTTCTTTCCGTTGAACGCTTGTATAGTCACAACTTATATCCACTCTTTTCTTCAAATCTAAAATTAATCTTCTATTAAGGTGAGGATTGAATTGGGGAAGTGGCTATTCACATTCAAGGGTTTTTCATGAATAAAAATTCTAGGCTCAAGGGGGCTTAACTAAGGAATATCAATAAAGGTTAGCTTTTTGGCCATCTAGTTAGAGAAGAAACTTGCCTCCATCATCTCTACAAAATATTTCACATACTATTTCAATCAAGAAACAAAGCAAGTTCTAGAGTATCTCAACAGTGGAATGCACACTCAATAAAAATTTTCTATATAAGCTCAAAACCTCCCGGCTATGAATGCACAGTAATTATCCTGTTCTTTTTCTCAAACAACTTCAATACCAGACAATACATTCAATGAATCATGTCACTTATTGCAATGATGTTCATAAAAATGGAATATGTATAAGTGCATCATCATGCTCTGAATCAATTACTAATTAAAATTCCCGCCATTTTTCCAATTTAAAAACACTGATAAAACTTTAAAAATTTCAGAATTTTCACAAAACAGTGGCTTGGGGTTTTCAAAACAAACTAAATATTAAAAATTCAATTCAAAAAGAATTAAGCTAAAGCAAAGATGAAAGGATTTGAGATAGTTCCCTGTTTTAGCCGGATATTATGTGTGTGCTCATGAAGTTCCTTCGGCTTACTCAATTGTGCTTAGATGAATCGCGCGTTCCCCATCCCTTTTCTTCACCTGTAAAATTCACTCAATGATAGCCATTAGTCTCAACGCCTTGTCCTATATTTTTGTATTTTCCTTAATTGAAAAAAAATAAGTAAAAAATAACATTAATCAAAACTAAAAATAGTAAAATGGTGGGTTGCCTCCCCCTAGCGCTTGTTTTACGTCACGAGCCTGACATACCTGACTTATGATCATGGTGGTTCAAAGCATGATCTTGGGGATGACGAAGCTCCATCATTCAGAAATTATGTCCTACCATAGTGCTCTTCTACGTATGGATGAGGTAAAGTAGTCTCATGAACTTTGAATCTAGTATTTATGTGCTTTCCTTTGCTCCTCGGCTTTTCCATCTTAACTCTTGGCTTACTTTCTTGAGAAGACTCCTCATTGTGTTCTTCTTCACCTTTCTTTTCACTAATAAAGTAGACTTGATCTTGCGGTTGAGCTACGGATGAGGGGACTTCTTTGTCAAAGAATTTGAAATTTGCTTGCTCTCTGTCTACCCGTAAGATCAGCTCACATTTAAGTACAACAATCAGTGCTCCTGAAGTTGCCAAGAAGGGTCTTCCAAAAATTATAGGAATTGTGGCATCTTCTTCAATGTCAAGGATGACAAAATCAACAGGAATGATGAATTTGCCTAGCTTTACCAATATGTCCTCAATGATGCCATAAGCTTGCTTTGAAGAGCGGTCAGCCAGTTGCACTATCGTCTTTATGGGATTCACTTCAGTAATCCCCAGCTTCTTCATCATGGAGAGTGGCATGACATTGATGCTAGCTCGAAGATCACATAAAACATTGTCCACTTCCATTTTGCCTATAGTGCATGGAATGCTGAAGCTCCCCGGATCCTTGACTTTGGTAGGTAACTTCTTTTGGATGATAGCATTACATTCCTCCATTAGATTCACCGTCTCACATTCCTGCAACTTACGCTTCCTTGATAATAGACCCTTCATGAACCTTGCATAGTTGGGCATGTTCTCTAAAGCTTCGGCAAAAGGAATGTTGATCTGCAACCACCTGAATATGTCTAGAAACTTTGAATATTGCTGCTTCTGAATATCTTTCTTTAATCTCTGAGGATAAGGGATTCGAGCATATTGGGAGAGATCCAATGGCTTGTTCTATCTTTCTAGAGCTTTCTTCTTCTCCCACTTGAATAGTTTCTTTTCGGCTTTTTCAAGATTACTTTTGTCAACTTCAATTGTATCTTTTTTCCTTTTCCTCCTTCTTTTCTTCATCTGATTCTTCTCCATCCTTCTTCTTTTCTTCGGGCTGCTCCTCTATAGGCTGAATCACTGTACCACTCCTAGTGGTGATAGCATTGCAATGCTCCCTTGGATTGACAACTATGTTGCTTGGAAAAGCACCATGAACTCTCTCAGAAAATTGCTTCGACAACTGGCCAATCTGAATTTCCAGATTTCTTATGGAAGCTTCTTGATTCCAGTGTGCTGCTCTAGTCTCTTGCATGAAAGCAGATGTGTCCTCTCTGAAAGCATTTGCACCTTGAATATAATCAGAAGTGGTCTTGCATAGTTGTGCAAAAGCTTTCTCCCACTCAGAGGTGTTAATTTGTTGTGGGGTATGTGGTTGCACTGGAAGGGGAGGATTGAGCTGATGCTTGGATTTGTGACTCAACCCTGGATGTTGATTCTGATTTTTCTGATCATACCAGAGTCCATTGACCTCTGCTGGTGGCTATTTCGCTGCTCTTATGTATTCACAATCCTCAGTTGCATGAGCCTATTCACAAATACCACATTTAATATTAGAATTAGAAACAAAAGAAACTTGAGAAAGATTAAATTTTTTATTAAGGGCATCTAATTGGTCTTGTTGTTTCTTGTGCATTTGTAGCATTTGTTCATTTTGGGCTAAGAGTGCATCATAGCCGTCAAACCTCATAATTCCTGCTCTCCTTTGTGCATCTGGGGCAAGGGCATTGTCAAATTCCTGAAAAGCTAGAGATTCCAGTAATTCCAGCGCATCTTTGGAGTTTTTGTTTTCAGGGAGCCTCCTGCAACAGCATTCACCAGTGTTCTTGTGTTGGATGTCATCCATTAGAAAAAGATTCTTGCTTTCTCCCATGTTTCAATTCCATGTTGAGGACACTTCCTGAGTGATCCCTTGAATCGTTCCCAAGCCTCATACAAAGATTCGCTGACTTTTTGTTCAAAAGCAGTGATCTTCGCCTTGAGTCTTGCCATCTTTGAGGCTGAGAAAAATCTGGCCAAGAATTTCCTTGCTAAGTCATCCCAATTGGTTATGCTTCCTTCAGGTAGAGACTGCAGCCAATCTCTTGCTTCATCCTTCAGTGAGCATGGAAATAGCCTGAGCAAGATAACATCACGAGGAACTCCATTTACTTTTAATGTATCAAAATAAAGTAAGAAGTTATCAAGATGACTATAGGGGTTCTCCGTGCTTCCTCCAGCGAACTGATCTTTTTGAATCAGTTGCAGCAGCGCCGGCTTCAGCTCAAAGTTATTAGCCTCTATGTTTGGTCTAACAATGCTTGTCGTCTGTGGAACTCGAGCTGGGGTCATGTAATTTCCCAACGTCCTTGGAGCGAGTTGATGGTTTTCTGCCATTGGTTCCTCCTTAGGTTCCATTGAACTTAAGGTTTCTTTATCTTCTTTTGCTTTTCTTTCTTTTGCATTTTTCCTGAGTTTCCTTTCTGTCTTTTCTATCTCAGGATCAAACTGTAAGATTTGCGGGTTAAGAGTACCTCGCATAAACTAAGATTGAAAAGATGTGCAGAAAAAAATAGAAAATGCTAAACAAAAAAATAGAAAAATAACAAAGAATGCAGAGAAATAAATATGCAGAAAATTGATGCCGAATTTTAATGCAAAAAAATATTTTTAAAGAATGTATAAAGTGCAGAAAATTAAAACGTCCACTCTAAAAGTTAAATAGTTACTTCTAATGTTGCGACTCGGCAAGTGCACTGGTCATAAAGTAATAAAGTGTACCGGAGTACGAGATCGTTCCCACGAGGATCAGAATCTTCAAGCACTAGTTCGCTAATTGCGTTTTAGTTGGACAATCAGTAATTTAGATGAAGAGAGTTATAATTTGAAGAACTTGAAAATTAAAGAAAAGTAATAGCATTCAATCAAAGAAAATTCAGAATTAAAAAAAATGAATAAAAAGATAATGATTGATTAAAGAATTCAAAAACAAGCGTAGTTAAGGTTTTGACTTCCCTCAATATCCTCAATATGTTATGAATTAAACAGTCAAGAACCCGTTTCTTAATATATTGCCACTCAATTCTATCTAAGTTATTACGGCTCAATTCCTTGTTACCATAAATCTATGTAATCTTGAAAGAACTCTAGTTCCCCGATTATTCCTCAAGAAAACATGCATTAAGATCAAGAATTTCAAGATTGCATAATTACCCTTTGTCTATTCCTAGATCAAAAGGATTATGATAAATTATCAAATCAGGGTTCATGCACCAACATCTCTATTGTCATACAATTCCTCAAAATCATTCTATAAGGAGCAAACTCATAGAAAGCAATAAAAACAAATAATTTATTCAATTATAAAAAGAACAGGATTCAGAGACAATTTAATTCATAAACATAAAGATTCAATTGGGTTCCATCTACCTTTAACTACATAAAAGACTAGCCTAGCATACTGAATTGAAAAACAATAATAAAGAAAAGAGAATTCCAAGCCTCCATTGGTGTGATGTTGACTTGGTTCCTCAGTGTTCTAGCGCTCCGCAACAGGATTCCTCCTTCCGTCTTGATGTAATGCTCTGGACTTGTGTATTGGTCTTGACCCCAAGCTCCTTATTTATAGCTTTTTGGAGTTGTATTCGTCATTAAATCTCCAATGAATCCATATCGGATTTGTGGTTGATTTCATCTTTCTTTCCTTTTTGCATTTGATATCTTGGAGATTGGTTGACGATTTTGAGCTTTAAATCTTGTTGTGATCTTCCATCACATCTTCTTATTGGAGTTATATCTTATCTCAATCAAGGTTGTTGTGTTTCCTCTTTGTATCTTATAGAATCTGCTGCATATCTTGATCAAATCTTTCCTGGAGTTTAGTTTGGCCGTGCATGGACGTTTTAGCGTGGTGTTTATGCGCTAAAACGTGCTTACAGTGCATTCTTGTCTGCCTCCAAGCGTTTTGGCGTCCAGTAGCACGCCAAAACGTGCTCTTCGAAGTGTTTTGGTTGCTTCAGGAGCGTTTTGGCGTGCTGTTTGGCCACCAAAACGCTTTTCTCCAGGGAGTAATGGTTGTTTTCTTCCTTTTGTGCGTTTAAACATGATTCATGGATGACAAAATGTCCTCCTTCAGCTGGTACACACTTGAAACCTTGTTGTCTTGTGACTTCAACTCAACTTGATGTCTTCTTTTGATTCCAAAATGCCATAATATGTATCAAAAAAACCCTTGAATTCATAATTATGACAACATGTTAGCAAAATATTCAATTACTATAACTTTACAGTATAAAACCCTAATTTCCATGCAATTCATGATATATATCAAACATAATTAAGCCTAAAAATATGGTAAACTAAGGGTTTATCAGTTATACAAAGGATTCAAGCGGTGAAAGGCACAACTAGGCTCAAAGATTGAAGAACCGTGAAGAAATATGAAGACTCAGTTCAATATTGTTTGTAATGTCAATTTAAGTCTTAGGAATTTAGACGATGTGTTTATTGAGCTTCAACTCTTAAGATTGCATTTAGGAACCATAAACTCATGCATATGATAAACACATACTTGATCCATACATTCAATGACTAACCACATGGAACACTGTTACAATGATGTTAGAAACATACATTCATATGTGAGAAGTGAGTAGAAAGTATTTAGAAACTACTTGGATAAAAAATTGGACCATATAATATCTCGATACTGATATCCAGATATGTTCCCGACAAATATCTCGTTTCTCTTCATCTTTTTCTATTTCGTTTTGTAATTCTAAAAGTGGAGAGGATGCTTCATTGCTTTTTTGATTGATTGGACTACTGTAATTGGATTTGGTACGACTAGACTAAACCTGAAGGTGTTCGGGTTGAGTGTGATCAAGATTGGTCATAGAACTTGTAAAATTCCAATTGTAAAACTATTTTTCAGGCACCAGTTGGAAGCTTGAACATAGTGGAACGATTGACCTCAGCTTGGATGTAGCTTTCGTGTGGTTAGAGAGTGAACCAGGATAAATCTTAGTGTTTTCTTCTCTTTTCCCTATCCTCTTGCTTTTTGCTGCACATAACTTGAATTAATTCATCATTTATGAGGTTTTGATTCTGAATTTGGGTTAGGAATTGATTGTTTTCTAGTTGAATACGTTCTTGCATGTTTTCTTGAGAAATGAGTTTGTTTTACATTGTTTCTTGCATTGAAAGTTAACCATAATTCACCCCCTTCTTGTGGTGTGATAAGCCATTCTTTTCTTTCTAGTGTGCTCTTTTTGTCTTGGGTAATTATTTATTTCTGCATTATTATAAAACATGTTGTTTATTGCATAATTAGTTTTAAATAAAAAATAAATTCATGTAATGATCTACAACATCGATTGCATGATTCACCATCCTGAAGTATTGTCAATATATAAAGGTTCATGTGCAATGTGGAGTGATTTCATAATAAAATATTTTTCAAAATTTATCAAAATTAGAATTTGTGTCACAAATATCTGATTATCGTCTTCTAAATATTTAATCCATGCATTCTTATATATGATCTTCCAACCAAGTGTTATACGTGAAAGTTGAAAAAGGCAGAACTTTAGTCGAACCTTGGTGTGCTCACACGAGGGAAAAAACAAAAAATTTTGAAATTGAAAAACATAAACCATTTATGTTCCTCATGTGTTCATGCCAAGATTTACATGCTAAAACACGTAGGGTTTAATGTTCATATATTTTTCACCTGAAGGCATCAAAGAAGATGAAGCCCTAATGTTGATCCACATGATTGC